GGGCTTTAATTACTGATAAAAATATTTCAAATGAATTATTACACAAAAGAGCGGGCCATTTAAGTGAAGGAGGAATGACCAGATTAAAAGATATGGTCGAAGGTTTTTACATTTAATGGAAAATTGTTAAATTGTGTGTCATGCATTAAAGGCAAAATGCATAGACAACCATTTCCTAAGGGGAAAAGCTAAGCGTGCAAAAGAGTTATTAGGCATAGTACACGGTGACCTGTGTGGGCCTATGAATGTTAGCATCAATTGGTGGTTTTCGCTACTTTATTAGTTTTATTGATGATTTGTCGCGACAAATGACTTTTGTTTATTTTTTTGAAAAATAAATCTGAAGTTTTTGAAAAATTCAAAATATTTCAAGCATTTGTTGGAAAGGCAAACTGGCAAATCAATCAAAATCTTACACTCAGATAATGGTACTGAGTATGTAAACAATGAGATGGATAACTATTTAGCATCAAATGGAATTCAGCATTAAAAATCCATTCCATTTACACCAGAAGCAAATGGGTGTAGCTGAACGTAGTAACAGAACTCTTATTGTAGAGCGAGCACGATCAATGTTGGTGGATGCTCACCTTTGATCAAAATTATTGGGCTGAAGCAGTGCAAACTGCAAATCACTGTAAAAATATCTCTCCAACTATTGCAGTTGCAGGTATGACCCCTTATGAAAAATGGTATGGGGATAAGCCAAATTTAGAATACTTGAGAGTATTTGGATGTCGCATTCCAAAACAAAAACGTAAAAAGTGGGATATAAAAGCAAAGAAATTAATGCTTGTTGGGTACTGTCAGGATAGAAAAGGCTATCGAGTAATAGATCCCAAAACTTATGAAATAATAAATGCACGAGATGTACAATTTTTGGAAAACGAAATGTACTACAAAAAGGCAAGTAATATGCCAAAATTCTATGATGAATCCTCATTCAGTGGGAGCGTGATTATGACATTTTCAGATACTGAGAATGCAATAGCTGATGATCAGAACGGTGAATTGGAAGGGATGGTTAATGATAATACTCAGTCTGATCATGAATTAGTTAATGCTAGTGTTAAATCTAATCACGATGAACATAATACTGCTCAAAATGATAGCCATGATAACAGTAGTGTAGTTGATGAGCTACCTACATTGACTAGAAACAGAAAACTTAGATTCCCAAATAGTTATACGGACTATGACACACACGGGATGCCAGAAATGCCAATGCCAAATTTAGATCGAATGTGCTTTGTTAAAGCTATGGCAGCAGCAACAAATGGTATGTATTCTGAACCGAAAACCATTGATGAAGCATTAAGGGGCAATGATGCAAACCATTGGAAGGATTCTATATGGGAGACTATATTAGGCCATATTAAAAACAAAACATGGGAAATAACAGATAAACCTTATGATAAGAACATTGTAGATTGTAAATGGGTTTTCAAAATTAAATGTAATTCAGTAGGCAAGATTGAAAGATATAAAACACGTTTAGTTGCTAAGGGCTATTCTCAGATTGAGGGAATAGATTATGCTGAAACATTTGCACCAGTTGTCCGATACGTAACATTAAGAGTTTTATTAGCTTATGCAGCTATATATGATTGGGAAATTGACCAAATGGATGCTGTAATGGCTTTTGTACAGGGAACTCTAAATGAAGACATTTATATGAAAATTCCAGACGGTTTCAGTGAATTTTACAAACAACAACTTAAAGAAAAATTTGAAATATAAGACTTGGGACCAGCAAATTATTGCTTAGGAATTAAAATTGAACGAGATAGAACTAAAGGGTCCATTAGCCTTAGTCAAACTCAGTATGTAGAGAGTATGCTTTGCAAATATAATATGCATGAATCTCATGGTGTAAAAACACCATTAGACCAAAATCAAGTACAGTCAAAAGTCGTTAATTCGGACACCCATAATCCGGAATGATCTATAATCCGGACCTTAAAGCTTTCTGCGCATGCGCATAGGCGTTTACGCGTGCGCGTAAGACTTTTACGACTGCGCAGATGCGTGTGTGCAAGTGCAGAATAAATTTTCGCGTGCGCGTTTAATGTATAACGGACGGTATAAGCTAAAATTATCTATTTCAGTTAATGTTGATGATTGCGTTGTTCCGTAATGTTTGAATTGGATGCGGCTTATTATTTTTTGCAGATTGTAAGAACAATGTTATAAAAGTTAAACTTGAACTTTCGATTATGTTCAAATAGAATTTCCGATGCTGGAGCTCCCAAAGAATCTACAAAAAGAAAGTATGTTTCGATGTCCATCAAACAAAAAGTGGAATTGCTGCAAAAAAATGGATAAAGACATGAAGAGGTGACAGAGAGGTTTAGTGAAAACAAAAAAATTTCGATTGACAAGTTAGTCGGTATTCTCGGCACAGCAATTGCGGGACTTGAACAGCGGAACTTTTAACTGAACAAGAAATTATGTCTGTTATAGAATTAAAGAGAAAGTATTATCACATAAAACGAAGCGACTTAAATAACTTACATTGAAAAGAAGAAATGTTAATAAAGTAAACAAATAAATATTAAGCCTTTTTTTTTTTGTAAATTTTGATACCCTTTAGATCATAAGGTTCTTTATTTCATAACTTACGGTTTCATGTTTTTAATTTTAGAATTTCTGCATGCCATCTTACGAGATTTAAAACTAATGATCGATAATCCGGAATCTCCGAAGTCCCGACGAGTCCGGATTAACGACTTTTGACCTGTATTATCTAAACTGCAGATACCAACTAGTAAGGACAAAAGCTACCTGTTCCTTATCAGGCTGCCATTGGGAGTCTGCTTTATGCAGCTCAGCTCAAGCAACACGGCCAGATATAACTTATGCTGTGAATTTTCCTTAGCCAGTTCTCCAATATCCGGCAAGGGTTCACTGGAATGATGTCAAGCGCATCATGCGATATCTTCGAGCCACTACAGATGCTACATTATCTTTTTCAAAGGACCATAGTGCTGGCGTCCTTGGTTACAGCGACTCAAAACTATGGAGGTGATGCTGGGGAATCGACGATCAACCACTGGATATGTTTTCCTCATCGGAGGTGGTGCAGTATCAAGGTGTAGTAAGCGTCAGCCTAAACCATTGCAGCAACTAGTACAACAGAAGCCGAATATATATGGCTCTTTCTGCAGCTACTAAAGAAGCCATATGGCTCAACAAAATTGTTAAAGAACTTTCGATTATTACTGCAAAGCCAGCATTATTATACTGCGATAACAACAGTGCTATTAATCTCAGCAAAAATAGTGTGTATCATGGTAGATCAAAGCATATTGATACACAACATCATTTCGTGCGAGAAGCTTGTGAAACTTCAGCACATTGACGATACAATAAGACTACTAATGATATGATTGCAGACTTTTTGACAAAAAATTGTAAACAGTGCAAAACACATGAAATGTCTGCAAAAAATGATGTGGTTTAAAATGAAGACTAATGTAATTTAATGTTTTATTATATGTATGTGTGCTGATGTAATTTCTCATTGTATTTAATTAGGATGATATTTAAAGCTAAAGTGGGAGTGTAAAAAAGGTTAGCTTTAAATATGTTCTTGGCCCATAGATGGCGCCACTGTTTTTATATTCTTCTATAACTGTGCACTCCAATAAAACTTCACTTGTGTTCCAAACTCCCAACAGGTATGTTGTGTATTATTTATTCTCATGCATGCAAGTTACCACTCTCTGCTATATTGAGTTTCTAATAACTGGCCAAATCTGTCTTCGAGAGCATCTGTCTGAACTTTGCCTGGCAGGAAATATTTAAATTTTAATTCCTCTATACAATACCTGGTTAATTCGAGGAGAGCATGCGTTGTATGAGAAAAAGCGAAGTTTGTTTCTCTGGTAAGTAAGTGCTACCACAGAACAATTTTTATAATGCCAAATGCGTCAATCCAGGCAAGAACTTTTTCAGAAAGAGACATCTTTCATCTGCGTTACACTTAAAAAAGTCTCATAGGCTGCTGATAAACATTTCTTAACCTAATACCAGCACATGGTTTTATATTTTAATGGTGTTTTTCACATTTACGATATCAAACCATGTGCTTATTATTTCTATAAAATCTGCAGTTGAGGAATAGTATGGAATATCATACTTTCTGTCCCAATTCCCGAAGTCCTTCAGAAACAAACTTGTTAAATATTTTAAAGCTACATTTTGGCGCTCTAAATTTGAGGGATTGAAGAGCTTTTAAAATCAAACCATAACTATATTTGATAATCGGTTCACAACTTTCTAGCTGATGCATTTGTTTTAAAGCAGAAAAAGATGCAGTTAGCATTTGCATATTTTCCATAAGAACAAGTTCATTTGAATCTGAGTCGAAACAAGCATTAAAGTCTGGAAAATGAAAACACTTGCGAAGTTTTTTTTTCTGGTTGAGCCAGTTGTTTCGGATACACTTTAAGATGTGAACACTATCAATAGCAAAAAATAACGGTCTCAATATATTGGCAGGATGTTTATAAACTGTACAGATATTTTAGGTGGACTGGGGCAAAATAAGAAATTGCTTTTGAATTAATAGAATTGTTATCACTCACTACTGTGATCACCATAAAACCAATTTCCTCCAGCTTGAGAATTATTTTTTAGGCACAGAAACAGTTCTTCAGCTGTTATTTTTGCAATAGTGTAAAATATGAACAACATCTTTATAAGACGACAGAAAAAACTCTGAATCATAAATACACGTATGCTGTGGTAGCTGCGTGGACACTGTCATGTGATGAACCATATATATTTCCTCCTTTGAATTCAAAAAAGGGCTTTGATATGTATTTCATCCATCAAAAGTGCAACACATGAGTCATTTTGTTGTGTAATAATGGGAACTTAGACTCAATATATGACAAAAATTTACTATCATGCTGTTCCATTTTGGGGTTTAGTTGAAATGGAAGAACATAATCTCCGCAAGGGTACTTGGATGCGGCAAGATCATGTTTCCGGAAGACATTATGAAACGATATTGATGAGGAGATACTGAATAAAGCAGTGAGCAAAAGATTAAGACATCCGTACTGTAATGCCTCCGTACTTTTTTCTGCATTAAAAGACCTATTTGGTCATTTATGAACTGTATCATATGCAAGTTATCAACACCTGAATTAGTTTCTAATATATCGTCTAGCAACGTTTGTACCATGTGTAGTTTTGAATCATTTTCATGACAAAGATTACAACAAACAGCATTTGTTTTCTCAATAACTGCTGTAACATCATTACAGTTACTTATGTTTTTAGGTATGACAGTATTTCCTAACTTTGTTGCTTGAATGCCTTCAATGTAAATATTTAAATCAAGCCCTTCAGTCACCACTACTGATGCTACAATACATGGTGCAGTTCGTAAAGTTATCAAAGCAAAGATGATAATATCCGATTTCTGAATGATGGACCACTGTTCTGGCAAACTAATTAAGCACAACTTTTCAAAGAGCTCAGAAAGACTAGTAAATGTCATTTTTTTTGTCATAGTCTTCTTTGGATTTTATGCTTTCAGTAATTGCAGTTTCTAAAGCCTTGTTTTCCAATCTTTGTTTCTTGCAGTCAAAACTTTCTCTTTTCTTACAGTGTTTCGACAAATAAACCGCACAATTAGGAAGTTTTGTAGGAACAGCATTGCATGCTAGACGAGGATGCTGTAAAACTGCTGTCACTTTTCTGCCGGTTCTTTCATCGTAGATTTCCGAAACTCTTTCGATGTCACATGCAGCAAAATGAAGCTCACAGACCTAATGAAATAAAAGAGACAATTAGAATCCTCATAAAAATTCTATAAGGAAAAAAATTCTTTTTTTTAACCTTTCTAAAATGTTGTAATAGGTGTATTTAAGTAAAAAATATTAGCTTTATTGAAAATCAAGAATTTTCATTAATCAGTAAGTTCAAAAAATTGCTTCTTATAACAAGAAAACAAAATATGGTTATTTTAAAATTTAATGGTTTTGCCAGATTCTTTATTAGCTTAAATTCGAAGCTAAATTTTAGTGAACATATACTTTTAAAATATTTATCATTATAGTTCAAGAATATATTTAATGGAAATTTTCTTCTTTTGTTTACATTTTTTAAATTATAAATATAGTTTTGACTAATGTACTTCATAATGTTTTACAATTGGTCTCTTTTAACTATTACGGAATAATTCGAGAACAGACGTCAATTGTTCAGTTTTTATGTGAACTAAGTATTAAAATATTTTGGGCCGTAAAATGCTACATTTTAATATATATTATAATTAATATTGGAGTTCTCTTATGTCAATATCACTCTAGATTGCTATGGCACGTTCTAAATATTTTGTTAGTTACAATACTTAAATTATTTAACGATTTAATCAACATTTTCTAAAATTAACGATTCGTAAAAAGATTAGAATTATAACTAGGATAATCATAAATTTTTTTATTACAAATTTATGTTCACCAAAAAGTATTTTATTATTCAGTTGTGAAAGGTGACAACTGAAATTTTCAAATCATCTGACATTTTGCATACAAAAATATATAGCTAATTTTTTTCCTCTTACTTCTTTTGAAAATATTTCTTACCTAGACCAAAAAATTCAGTTGCATAAATACAGTGAATGATAAAATATATAGTGAATGATATGGAATACATTAAAATATATAATGAGCAGATTGATATTTAGTATGATAGACAGTAATCAGTAATCAAGAAAACATATGTTTCTTACCCTAGAAGCTTTCGTAGGCTGGAAGTTTTTTCGATGGATCGCCATTATCCATTTCTTTCGAAGATCTGGATCCCTCGGGAAACGAAAAATGAACACTTTGGGCTGTCCTTTGTAGTTTCCTTTACATCCAGGGACGCAACATCTAGCTGGCATGATGTGTGTTTAATCCAAAACGTAAGCGTAAAACAAAAGGAAGAGAAAAACGTTTTCTACAGGAGATACAAAAATACAGCAATGGCGAACGGTCACACCAAGACTACTGAGAGCTGGTGAACATATCAGTCAAAGGTCAAGGCTACGAGTCGCAAAAGGTCTCCTCATCGTGACGTAAGATGACGTAGCGAGGGGAGTGATACGGCCTTTTAAGTCTCGGTGGTGTCGGTACTGCTCACATTATTACCAAAGTCCCAGGTAGTAACCTTTATCGCCTCCAAAATGTCGCCAAACTACCAGTTACCATATTCTAAAGATCAGCCACTATGTCATTAATGTATTACTTTAAGAGCTCGACTAATCCATCAGTTGAATAGCTGAAGTAACAGGAATAATTTCGATTTTAGAAATTGTTTTTAAACATGAAATTATGCAAATGAGAGATTTTTAAGGAAGCACTTCCGCAAAGGATCCGTTAAATGTAAACATTGCCAAAAATGATGATAAAAGTTCAGAGCTGGTAACCCGGCGATTGGTTTGTCAGAGGTAACAACCCGGTTCGCTCTTAGAGAATATTTCTCGTCTGTTCGCCACTGGCTAGCGGTGCGTCACTACTGGGTGTGGTGGTGAAAATCGGCCGGGGGGGGGTGAATATAACACAGCTTTTTAGAATAGTATGGCTGTGTTTTTACGTAATTTTAAAAGACTTTAAACACACGGCTTCTAAAATATTATGATTAACGTCGGCCGCAATAATATGCGTTTTAAATAATTAAGTTTTTATTTTTATTACTGTTATTTTTACCTAAAATAATACGAATTAAATCAGTTTTTATGCTTAAAAATTTGATATATTTTTAATGCATTTTTAAAAATTACTTTTCAGAGGATGCTAGGTGTTTATATACAATAGATGATTAGAATGAAAAAAAAAATTATTGGTTCTCTGAGATGACAAAATACTTTTATGTATTTCCAGGGTCATCAAAGTTAGTAAACCACTGCTTTGAGTAATTAATCAAAGTTTGAAGGAATCTTGAAAGATAACAAGATGTATAATGTTTATTCTAGTTTTATTTACAATGCTACTTTAAAGGATTTGAATATTATTGAAGATACTTGGCATTGTCAAATTTATTATGAAAAAGACAGTTGTTTCAAAATAAAATATATTTTAAGCTATCAGCAAGTAAATTCAAAAAACAACTTTGAAAAAGTGTAAAATGAATGTTTTAAATGTATTATTTAGTAATGAATCTATTAAATGTACAGTAGCACTAATTATTAAATATAATTTTGAGAATATCGACAAGCAAAGCACTTAATGAAAAAGACCCTTTTTACTAAAAATATTAGTATTCCGTATGAATGACAGAGAATATATGTAATGAATACCGGGGGCCAAATACCTATATAGAAAAAAAAAGTAGTATTCTCTACCTCGAAACTTGCAAAAGTAATCCTACTATGCAACACATAGTTAATTTCCGATTACGTCATATTGCAAGTATTTTCTTCAGATTTTTCCTACAGCTGATATTGAATACTGGTAGTTTGATCTGGTTTCATATCATGGTTAAAGGGCTGGCTGCATGGTTGATTTTTCTAGTTTTACTCATATGTAATGCAAATACAAGCCAGTTTTCCTTAGAAAGTTGTTCAAAACGGCATCTTTCTTCAGGTCCACAGCCGATATTCTTTACCATATTCGAATAACCTAAACTTTCCTTCAGATTCTACATTAACATGATGTATCTGTTGTAAGCAGGACAATGATCTATCCGTGTAGCAGGAGTGTATTTAAAACATGTCAGAATCATGGGATTCATAACGAAATTGACCATGTTTTAATCTTGAAAACTTTATAAATTTTCCCAATTTTCTTAAGTCATGGGTTTTACTAACAAGATATTCATACTTTTGTTCAAGATCACAAGCAGTTGAGCAATACCATTGCTGAATACTGATAGTTTGACCCAAGTTTGAATCCTCAGTATTCAGTATCTTGGGCCATCACACTGTCATGCCGCCTAAAGTTATTACTGCTTGGCATAATAACAATCTCACTTGACCATGTTACCCACTTTGTCAAAACTAATATATCAGCTGCAGTCTCTCCAAAGACTCTCACTATAACAGAGATTTAAAAATATCTTTCTTAGAATAAAAATAGGTTTGTCAACGTCTGGCAACAATTCATGAACTTTTCACGCAAAGCATTTACGACTCATTTCAGATAGAACATTTTGAGAAGTGTTTCATCTGCCTTTTTCATACGTATGGCTGCATCATTCAGAAGAAAATGATGTCGTGTTTAATTTCATCAGGGGTTTTCCCTCATCTGTTATAAGCAGAAATAATTTCAATGATATCCTGGAACTGGAATTATCATAGGGTACATATTAATTTGTCAACAGCATTGGTTATTTCATAAATGGAAATGAGAATATTGCTTTTTCCATTCTCACTTTGGATATTCTAAATTGCACTAATGTATATAGCATTGAATTAGGTCCATTTTAAGATAAATTTGCAGAACATCATTTCTTATAAGTTTCCAAACATCTTTTCAGAGGTGGACCTTCTTACAAGATTCAGATAATGAAGATGTAATATTTTGTTATTTAACAAATAAATATATATTTATTATTGAAGTGGCAATGCCATATTTGTATGATGTAACCATTGCTCAGCAATGTAAGAAATTGTTTAAAATGAGAATTCTGAAGTTTTACCAGCTAGTAGTTGTATGAAAATTTTGCCACTAAAGAATTTTATTCAAATTATCTATCTCCCTAAACTTAAAATAAAATTTATGTTTTATTAAGAAGATCATCTGTTATTTTGTCAATTACTGCAAATTACTTTACAGTATATTTAGTGAAATTTGTGTTGTCAGAAATAGTATTGTATTGTCAGAAATTATATCATTTTCTTTTCATTCTTCGTGCCCTACGATTCGATAATGTTGAAACACGGGATGACAGAAGAAAGAGTAATAAATTAGCTCCAATAAGAGATTTGTTTGAAAATTTTGTCGAGAATTGTCAGAAATTATATCATGTAGGGCAGTGGTCGGCAAACTTATTAGCCAAAGAGCCAAATATGAACATTACAACAATTTTTAAAAAAAATGGGAGCCAAATCTGCTTGTTTAATGAACTTTTATTACACTAAATAAAACTAAATTGAATACTTAATAAATATTTATTAATGCCAACAGTGTGCTTGCATCTCCTTGGAAAGTTTGAGTAAGTCGGTTTTGTATGTTGTTTTTAATTTTAGGCATGATTCCAAGTTCTCATCAATAAGACGACTTCTCAGTTTACTCTTGATAATGTTCATGCTTGAAAAAGATTGTTCGCATATATATGTAGAACCGAAAAGGGAAAGAACAGCAAATTCGAGCTTTCTCAGCTGATCGTAAGAGTCAGGAATACTATTCCAAGCGTTGAAAATGATCATGTCTTCCTTCTCCAGGTCATTCAAAGCAGACCACTTGTGTTGTGAACTAAGATCACATTTTTTCTTCTCGAATATTTCCAATTCAATTTAGAGTTATTACAATTTAGAACAAATTACGTTCGAATTTAGAGCGCCATATCTCCTTGTTTTTTAAATCCAGCAATTGTATTTCAAAGCTACCAATGTCAATTTCAAAAGGAGAAAATTTCAACTTGGTTATCGTAGCATGAAGAAGATTTTTGACAAATGCTAAAGTTGCTCTGCTGTTTTTAAATTCCTGAAACCTGCTGAGAAATACTTTCCTCATATTTAAAATTATTGTTTTAAAATGGTGTTTATCAATAGAGGAATTATTTTCTTGGCGATGCTTCAGCAGACTCGGAAAGTGAAACAATGTTTCCCTTTCAAAATCCTTCTCGAAAATGGATAATTTGTTTTCGAATGTTATTACTTCTTCTAACATCGAAAAAATTAAGTTTAAGAAAAAAGTAAGTTAATAAGTAACTCTTTAATTCTTTTCTGAATATCTGCTTTGTTCTTAAAATCCCGAAATAGCACTTCGGATGCATTTATAAAACAATTTTTTATGTATTCGCCGTCTGTGTACGGTTTTCCTCTCTTAGCAATCTCTTGGCTACAGACAAAACCTGCCAAATTAATATTGCTGGAAGATTGCATCCAGTTATTAAACACAGAAGTTGACGACATTTGACTCTTCTGAAGTTCCTCAACTGTTTTCTTCCTTGCATCACCGGTAGGATATTTAGAGCTAAATGACGCGTGCTTTCTTGTAAAGTGTCTCTCTAAATTTGACTTCTTGTTATGCGGGAATTTCTCCTTACAAATAAGACATGTCGGAAGTCCATTAAAGTTTTGAATAAACACAAAATTCTCTGTCCACTCAACTTTAAATTCGCGGTTTTCATCTTCTGTTTTTCTTTGCTTTTTTTTTTTTTTTTTTTTTTTTTTGGTAGCCATGTTAATTGGGGTGCATATAAAAATATTCCAAATATATTTTTTTCTAAAGCCACCAGTACAAAATTATTATCATTATTAAATTGATGAAAATAAAAATTTTTAAAAATCTTTTTAAAATATACAATTTTATTAATATATGTAGCTGCACTAAAAAGAAAAAATAATTTTTCTATCATCAGAATAACAAAAATTTTAATATGATTAAAAATGGAAGAAAACTTCCAACATTTGGACAAATAGAAGTTATCGAAAAATCGATTACAAATTTTGTACCGGAACCACAAACATACATAGCAGGTGTAATAAAATCGTATAAAAATACCTGTAAGATGTGCAGCTAGATTAAAAAATACAACAAATTTTTAATAAGAGAGGACAACGGGAGATACGGTAGATAAAATAAAACTGTTCTCACTGCAACTGCTGCTCTGTGATGCCAATTTGTACCTTCATTACTTTACAAAAAGCATGCATGTGCATGCCGGTATCTTGTACATGGTTTATGTTTACGTTTGCGAAAACTAATAAAATTAAACTTGATGTTCGTTACGTATTTTTACAACAATATAAAATTTTAATTACCTATCTATCTTTTTACTCAAACAAAAAATTATACATGTTCTCGATTTATAGAAGAATTTTAATTTATCAAAATTAAATGTAATTTTCTTCTTAGCAAGTTTTTTTTTTAAATGAAAATATTATTGCGCCTTCCGTGGATATTTGTACCAGAGCCGCACTTAAGGAGCCAAAGAGCCACATGCGGCTCTGGAGCCGCACTTTGCCGACCACCGATGTAGGGGAATACATGACTTTGGACGAAAAGCTAGAACCTTTTTGAGGACGATGCTCCTTTTGGCAGTATATGCCTAAGAAACCTGCAAGAAATGGTATAAAGATATTTACTGTGGTTGATTTTAGATCCTTCTATACTTTGAACATGGGAACAATATGCAACGATAAGATTATCCCACCTGAATTTGTGTCGAATAAGAATAGAGAACCGTATTCAACTCTCTTGGGGTTTCAAAAGAATATAATGCTACTTTCTTATATGGCTGAAAAGAACAAATGTGTTAACTTTTTGTCAAATATGCACAATGATGACCATATTGATGAAAGCACGGGAGATTTGAAGAAGTAATTACGTTTTATAACATGACAAAAGGAGCAGTTGATATAGTCGATGAAATAGGTGGCACTTATTCTGTGGCCAGAATATCAAACTGATGGGCATATTATTTTCGCTATTAAATATTGCCGGCATTAAATCAAGGATCTTGCTTTCATCTACTAAAACTCCACTAGAGAAGTTCAGGAATAAGAGGCACGTCTGATTTGGTCTTTGCACTTTTAGATTCTCATTTGAAATCATAACAGGAACAGTAGGAATATAATGGAAGATTCTTTTGAAGATTCGCAAACAAAGAAAAGAAAACTATGTTACCGGAGATGTTACATGTGCTCAAGAGAAAAAAAAAAAAAAAAAAAAAAAGACAGAAAATCAAAAACTGTATGTGTGAAGTGTAAAAAAAAAATATGTCAAGAACACTGTTAAATAGAAGCTTCATGTATAAACTACAAAATACCTAATTTTTCTTGAGCCTAATTCATTTGAAAATTAATTATATAACTCATTATCCATGCAATAATTCTCCATAATTTGGATTATAATTGCATTCAAAAATAAAAAAACACAAATTTCTCATAGAAATCAATGATTCCTAGTCATCTGAAGAAAATG